ATTTGGTTAACAAAACCAATCGTACGAGAAATCTAATTAAAAAGGATTTTCATGTAGGTTTCTTTTTTGGAAAGATATTCATGTGGGATTTTGGGAACCGGAATTATGGAATTAAGGAATTTATTGTTACTTCGGTAACAGTATCACGCACATCTGGAATGTGTGCCGCAGTCCAATAAGAATGCGATTACTGGTGACAGACCAATAAGGATGTGCGAATTTTTGATCAGAATCCGACGCAAAAAAATGAAAAATGGGAAAAATACGGGAAATGGATGTTCAAATCTAACTTGGAGTACTAATAAAAAATGTCGGCGAGGCAATTTTACTTATAATCTTGATCTCCACTCTAACCTAAACCCTAACTCTATATCAACTTTTAGGTAATTTTATGGCTGCGCCACGAACCTGGCACACATTCCAGATATGCAAGTATCAAGTGACCCGAACTTTAGGGTAGAATTGCGAATATGTTAATTTTCAAATTAAACTTTTGCAATAGATAGATTCTAAGTTACAAATAAGGTTGAGAAATCGACCACATTTCCCTGAACTGAAAATTTAATAAATAATATAAGCAGCTAAAGAACTAAAGACAGTATGCAGTACAAAAGAAAAAACTAAATGAAAAAAGACACAGCGAACTAATAAATTAAACAAAAGGATAGACGGACAGATACAACGAATTAATAAACTGATGACACACATACACAACGAGCTAATAAATTAATCGAGAGAACAGAACAATATTAAATTAAACGAAACGAATAAATAAATTAATGAATAAATTAATCATATCTTATTTGCGTGGAACAAAAGGAATCTACATTGCTTAGGGCTGTGACGGATATTATGTAATATCATTTGGGGGAGGGGTATTGACAGTATCTTATGTCTTATATAATATATAAAATCACATGCTTCAAATATATTATAAAAATGTTAAAATAGAATGATTCCCCAAAGTTAATATTTAATATGTAAATCATACATGTATTTTGTAAAGTGTGACTGTGATTCTTACGAGAGTAATGATATCGATATAAGTGGTTGGTGACGAATTTGGTTTGGTTGTGAAGAATCAACATTACCAGGTAAAAAAGGAAATGAACATGTTGATCGAATTTCCGATATCGGTATTGATGGAAGGATGAATATCATCAAAGGTTTTTTGAATCCGCATGATTATTAACGTTAATATTAAAATTTCCGGATAAAAAAGGAAATTGATCTAATGGAATTATTTCATTAAACGCGTTGTTAAACGAATTTCCGACATCATTATTAGTATTGATCGTGGAAAGATGTATATCATCAATGTCTGCTGAATCCACATTATTAACTTCAATATCAACATTTCCGGATAAAAGAAATTGATCCAATGAAATTATTTCATTAAACGCGTTGTTAACCGAATTTCCGGCATTATTAATTGTGGAAGGATGAGTATCATCAATAATTGTTGAATCGGTGATAATAGTATGATTATATTCGATGGTTGATATTGTTTCATTCAAAGAGTGAGACCTAACGATCTCTTGAGATAAGTTGTCACTCATTGAGCTGGACATGGGTAACGTGTATTTCTTTTGTTCGCGAAAAACCCATTTCTTAATGTTGGAATCTTTCGGGTTTCTTGGTTTATACTTATAATTAGGATATATGCACTTATGATTCTCACAAGCTATTTTCTCCAATATTTTGAAGAATTGCTTGACCTCACTTGACAGTTGTCGCCATATTAGGCTACACTCTTGAGCCGTATGTTTGACTTCTTGTCTGGCGTTAGGACTACGACAACGTAAACTTGCTTGATAATCTCTTCGAAAAATGATCCAACTGTTTTGTGGCCGTGGTAGTTTATCAAGTTTATTTTTGTTTTTCTTGGAAGGCTTTGTTAACTCTTCAATTTGGAGAGTTAGATCATAAGGAGGTTCTTTTAGAAGTTGACGTTCAGTTTCTGTTAAATATTCGTTATTATCCATTTTTTTTCTCTTTTTTTGAAGGAAAGAGTGTTTGATATTTTAGAATTAAGATATACTGTGAAAAAATTACACGTGAATTACGTATTAAATAAAAATAACTAATATTGGTTTCCAATTTCGTTAGATAAAGTTAGAGTTAAGGTTAAAGTGTCTGACAAGAATATAGTTATATATGAAATTTTGCGCTGAGCATTTTATTGAGGTTAAAAGCTAGTAGTAGTAATAAATTTCAAGTTATTTGTAATCGGACTCAGGCTTTAACGAATCCCGTTTTTAGTAATTTTAAATATTATGTCAACAGGAAAAAGGAAGTATTAGGAGAGAAGAATATAAAAACGCAACAAGTTCGTTTTTTGGTTCCGAACGCAAGAGAGGAAATGTAATAAAGTAAAGAAGTAAAAGAACCAAAGGAACAACTTCTCGTTTATGAATGAAAATTATCGGTAATTTTCTCCGAATCAAATCTTACATTAGGATGTTCCCCACATCAAAATTTTCACAATGGGGACAAAATTTCAAGGGGACTGCATAACAAACCAAAACAATTAATTATTTATTACCATAAACGCAATACAGTGTTACCGATAAACGTACGTAATGCAATGTTTAAATACAAACTACTCGATATAACAACTATCGCTATTTAGAATTCTATTGTTTACAATAACGATAAGATTTGTATGGTTGTTATACTGAGAAATAACTATAGTACATGTACATACCGGTACCATTACGCACATCTTTTCTAATACCGTTCAGGGGTAATATCGATATCGATATTCGAAAATTTTCTGGGAAGTGTATTAATTAAGAGATCAACAAATGCATAAAGTATGGTTACACATATATGTTACTTAGTAAAATATCAAAAAATGAAATTTCCACTCTTATTATAACATTATAACATTATAAATTAACCTATTTTACTGTTTTAATTTAAATTGAATTTCAATTTTTTTGCTTTTTGTTCATTTAATTGTCATTGTCATAATTACGATATTTTTTGAAGTATCTTTGCTCAAAATAGTCCACTTTTTAAATTTTTGTTAATTAAATTAGTTAAAGATCTACATTTCGCAATGAAATGACTGACTGCTATATTCTAGTTGGTTACGCGTTGATGTTGCACAGTTTGCTTGTTTTGCCGACTAAAATATGGGGATCATGAGAAAAATTAAATTTAGACAAAGGGGAACGCGCGTGTGTTGAAATGACACAATTCAAAGAAAATTACATTGGAGTTTACAAATGAAACCATTTTTAAAGTGCAAGCATGATGTTTTAATATCAGAAAATGATTGATGATCGATATTTCTAGAACAAATAGAATTCATCACTAACTTGGAGTGCATTCTTTTATCAAACAGTCGATATTTTTATTTCGGTGTGATAAATTATAAATTTATCGAATAATGCATAGACGCGATTATAATACATATACAATATCTCCTGTTTTGGTTCGTTTTTCTTTTTTTTGTTCTTATTTTTTCTTTTTTTTCTTTCACAAAACTCTTAACACGAAATACGCGTTCGCGACATAGATAAACTCGCGGAAAGAAGTAATTCGAATAACCCCTTTAGCCACCAAAACGTATCGCGGCTTGTATTGGTTCAAAATCTATATAACCTCGGCTTCTGTTATCAAAAAGGTATTGGGACGCAAAAAGACGAGAAAAAAGCTTTTAAATTCAGCAGTGGATGTAGGGATAGGAATTTAGAATCGATTCTGAGAATCGATTAATTTTGTAGAATCGAGGAAATTAAATTTTAATCGATTCTTAACGTTAAATTTTAAATTTTAATCGATTCTCAAATATAATCAATTCTAAGAATCGAGAATCGATTTTAAAGACAAAATCGATAATGATAATGCAAAAATCGATAACGATAATGTATAAATCGTGTAAATAATTGAAAAACATGCAAATGTAACAAACTACGTACGTACTCTGTCATTCAACTAAAATATCAATCTTGATAATAACCAAGAAACTATTGCTAATATAGAGTTTAATAACTCTGATAGTAATACTAATGCCAAAAGTAACTGATATTGATCCAAATTTGAATAATATTTATGAAACAACAGAAAATACATGTAATGAAACGGACGGATACAGAATCACAATACTTCAATTGCCTCTATAATATCTTTACCACATAGTATCTCTACGAATTCAACTTTCAAAGGATAATTTCACGAATCAAAATATAACTTCAACTATTCCAACGAAAAGGGAAAAAAATCAACAGGCAATGAACAATAAAACCAAAGACCAGTTATGTCATCGCCGTTGTCGTCGTCATTGCTGTCGTCGTCGTCATCGTCGTCTCGAGAATCGATTTTTGGTTGAGAATCTATTCTCAATTGAAAATCGAATTTATTTAAAACGATTAATTAACGTTAACGTTAATCGATATATATCGATATAATCAAAATTATCGTTATTAATCGGTTGCTGTTATGTATATGGAATTGGAGCGAGAAAAAAGCATACGAGTGGTATTTAATATCGATATCGATATTAACACAGCACAGCATAAAATTTATAACGATAACGATAATGATAATTAACGTTAATACGTAACTATGTAAGTTTTATCAAAACTGATTACACTTGTTTTTACATATCAATATATAATAAATATCACTATCGCTATCGCTATTATAAAATTTATCGAATCCATCAAATTTAATAAAAATCTACCAAAATTTGTTAAAATTCATCCAAACTCGTCTAAATTCATTTTTTTATATATTGAAATATGATCAAAAAAAGCATATTCTTATCATTATTTATTTTTTTATTAAATTAAGTTTTTTGCCTTTTAATTCGATGATTATACCAATATCTCTTTATATGAGATTCCATCCAACCTCTATCAGCATTAATTCGTTGAAGTTGTGTAAGAACGTCAGAGACCTTTTCTACAGATAAGATCTCATCACTTAAAGTAGAGTTAAGTATTTTTTTTTCTTCATTACTAGATTGATATCTATGTTTCAATGGATTTATTATTATATTATTGTTATCGTTATTATTGTTATTATTTGTCGAGTTTGTCATTATTGTTATGTTTTGATCAACAGTATCATTATCGTTATCGTTATTATTATTATCATTATTATTTGAACTCTCATCAAGTTGTAATTTTTTTTGTTCTTTTTTTAAAGATTTTTGAGATAAAATATATTCTTGCTGTAAATCCTGCCATTTATAAGATACAATATTTCATGCACGTCGACCTTTAAGAATTCTTGTTTCAGTTTTGATTACATCTTGTTGTAATATTGCATTCATATGTAAAATACCAATTTTATAGCATTTAAAGAGTCTTTCAAAACCTTCTTGATTAAATTCTTTACAATTGACAAAAAGTTCATGAGATGATGGTTCAGATAAAGAAAATGCAATATTTAAATCTGTAACAAGCTTCCATAATGCTTCTTTATGTGATCTCATTTTTCCTTCACTATCGATATAAATATTATCTCCAATATATTCTGAGAATAATAAAGATAGATGATCGCGCTCTGATTGTACTGCTGATATTTGTAATTTTAGTTCATCTATTGTCATTGATTTTTCACCAATATTTTGCTTAATAAACATTATTCCAAATCTTTCCAAAGCTTCATCGAATGCGATAAAGTGACCAACTTGTGTTAAATTAATAGAACAAATATGTTTAAAAAGTACTTGCAATTGTGGATCTTCTGCAATATAAGATAAAAAAATGTCACAGATCTTGTATAATTACTCTTGCCCGCAACTGGAAACAAAGGAGAAAATGCTGAAAGATTTTGAATTTGCATTTCAAAATTGCTCCTATGAATTCCAATCTTATGTCCAATCCAATATGAACATCACTTAAAATAATAAAACCACACTTTAATCACATAATTATTCATATTTTCAAGTTCTAAAAGTAACAAATTGTGATTTTGTACATATTTTATCAATGCTAATGTAATTGCAATTCATATTATCTCTAATACTCAACAATTAGCAGAATAGTCCACTACTTTTTCTAATTTATCAAGACATAAAATATCAAGATGTGCTGCTAATTTAAAAATACCATATCTAGAAAATATTGTAATTAATACTGAACACATATTCTTTGAGGTATACCATTGATCCAATAATAATTTACAGTTTGAATTATTTTTTTTAAATACTTAATATAGCCTCATCACAAGCAATATCAATATGATCACTATTTTTAGTTCCAATATCCTGAAAATACATTGCGCAAGCATCATGAACATTAGTATTACAATTGGAATTCTCTTCAGATTGGAATATACAACATTTGGTAGTATAGTATTGCATTCAATAACTACTGTTTCTTTAATTGTCTCTATAATAGTTTCATAATTCCAATTATTTAATTTTTTTCTAGAAAGTCAATAAAGATTCTTTCATAAGTCAATAATAGATCTTTTGTATAATTAGTTTCTCTGAAAAGAGATCATAATTCATTACTATTATCTTGAAAAATCAGATTTAAGGTGACTTCATTAATAATTTCATGAATTGACTTAGGTAAATTAAATTGAAAGACCATTCTTACAGTTGCATGAATACTACGTCTAGTAACATCAAATATATTACCATAAGCAAAAGTTTTTTCAACAAGATTGATATTATCAAGTACTGAGATATTCCATATATTATCATTTCTTATTATTTTAGTTTCTGGCTTTATATTAGTAATTCTTATATTTTTTAACTTTCTTTCATACTATATACTATATGATATTATATTTACTGTTCAAAGAATTGCATAAAGTGATGATATTAATTTAGATTTTCTGCATAAACTACTTAATATATGAGTGAGCCATATATTTGCTGATGGAAATATGATATTCAAAATATTGAAATTAAAAATATTGTTATTTTAGTAATACTTGTATTATCATTATTATTATAAGATATTTTTGATAATCCTTTACGTATTCGATGTTGATTTCTTATATAATTCTTTTTTTTGAAGAAAAGAAATAAATGATTTGAAAAAGATGTCAAAATCAGTGGAAATGCTTCTTGATATTGAATTATTGAAGAAGACGCTTCTAATTTTTCTTTATTTTGCTTTATCTATTAACGTGATTTCCATAATTCCATTTTAAGACTTTCTTCCACTTTTGATGCAGATTCATATACAAATTCAATAGATTAATTATTTATTTAAATTTGATTAAGTTTTAAAATAATTCTTAATAAAAATGGATTGATAGATTTAGTTGGTGTTTTTTCTTTTTCAATAAACATTTCTAAGACAGGAGACAGCCAAGCTAAAAGTTTTTCTTTATTTTTTTATTATCCGATGTAGCAGTATTTAAAATTCATTGACCAAAAATCCTTAATAAAGTTGTAGTATTATCTTTGTGTTTTTTTTTACAAGAAAATTTTCAATTTTTGCCAGCTCCAGGATGCTCATACATATGTTCACCATATAAATTAAAGCACATAGTACAAATAAATCTTGTTCGATAATCATTTGTTGATTTAGTAAATATAGTTGATAATGTTTCTTCTTTGTTAAAAACTGTATATATTTTTAATCCTGAACAGGATACTTGAATATTTCTTCCAATAATATGTGCTGAATGTTCAACACAATTATAACCTCTACTAAAGAAAGACTTATACTTATTACAAAATAAACATTCTTGAATATATATCCAACTTTTCTTTATAGATCGTTCCTTTTTACTTGTAGTTGAATATAATTTAGCAGCATCATAAGAGAAATGTGATGAACAAACTCCAAGACTTTGAATATTCCCATTTTATAAGCTTTTTGGAATATCTCTTTATTAATTTCCCAAGTATATAATAATTGTGCAAGAGGATATTGATTCATAGAAATATTGCTGCATTGTTTAATTTGATCATTTATAATATTAAGAATGACACAAGGTGATAAAGATTTAATGCTAGAATCTATCTTTAATGAAATATCATCATCAATTGTTTCAGTAGTATCAATATGTCCAATATCAGTAATAGAACTATCATCCAAGAAATCACTTGTATTATTATTTTTATTCAATGCTTTCATTTTCTCTGCATAAATCTTTGCAGTTTCAAGATTATCCTTATCTAAATGCATCCATATTAAAATTATCATTATCATTATTGTTATCATTATCCAATTCGTGATTAATACTTTCTTCGTAATTATCAAATAAGATACTATCACTACGAATGGTAAGATTATCATCCAAAGTACTATCGCTATCATTATCTTTAATATTTTTATAAACAAAATTATTCATATCAAGAAATTCATTAAACAAAAGAGTATTTTTCCAGTTTGAATATTCATTTTCATTTTTTTAAGAACTATTAGAATTTATTTTGTATATCGATATAGTTCTGATAATTTTCTTTTTTTATCATTATCATTATAATTATCGTTATCACAGTAATCATTTTAAATTTTGTAACATGCTAACGCTAAATTTGATTAAAGATTACTAAAAAGGACTAAGTAGTTTCGCAATTATAAGTTAACATTAACTCATTAAGTCTTTATTGGAAGGTGAACATAAATAACTGATTTTCTGAATAAAACAATAGTGATATAAGGTTAGAATTAACACAAATACATGAAGCACCGACTTCATCAAGAATTACAGGAATGACATCAATTTATTTATAACAAACTATAATCTTAGAAGATTGGTCAGTTGTTATAAAATACATCTCTTCATAACCAAATTGAGAGACAAATGTTCCTTGACAGACAAACTACAGAAGCAACCAGGTGCGAATAATAAGGAGACAGCACAGCGAGTAGCATGATCCGCTTTCTACTGATTTTGTATGTAATCATGTGTGAGATACTAACCAAGGTAAACATTTAGATTACCGATATCCATTATACCAATATCCACTAATGTAGAACTCATGAAAACATCGAAATATGGGTCCTAGTTCATGCCCAGCATAGTTAACATTTTGTCTTCTTTGCTGGTAATTTTTATAACTCTTTGTCTTCATTAATGGATTTTTGCCATTAAAGTGAAGTTGTCTTGAAGTGAACAGCACTTCATTATAATCAGAGTTCAAGAATGATAATCATAGATTATCTTCTACAAATTTTTTAAGAGATCACTGTGTCGCTGATTTAGAAATTGTTGAAAAACAGCCTTGACGCTTGTATATGGAAGCCTATCAGATGAAAAATTGGGATCGCGAATGACTGAAGATTGTTTTTCGGGTGGGTGAGGACGAAATAAGGGTGATGGCACAATTTAGTTGACGTCCCTCAAATACGAGTAATTTTTTGCATATTTGTTATGCTCTGCTCTATGCCCAATGCTTATGTCGCATATGCGGATTAGTAGTTCATTGAAGAGATAATAATAATAATAGATAGATGAATTCATTAACGTTAACTTAAAGAAACAAAAAATCTCAAACCATCCAAAATAACTTTACATTATTTTTAAAAAGTAATATTATCTTGATCAAATTACAAACTCAGATAATGAGTCTAGAAATAACAAGAAACCTAAAAAAAATCATTTTCTTTAGGAAAATCTTGGTATCGTTATAGACGTGATTTGGGGACGTTAATTTTAATATGTTATAATAATGTGTCAGAGGAAGTTGAAGCAAAATATTATTTTATTGATAGTAATATATAAATAGAATAACTAAAAATGTAATAAATAATAAACATCAATGCATTATCATTATATTCACGTTAACGTTAATGTTAAGAGAATACGTGTTGTTAATTAAAATTTTGATAATAACGATAGGTTAATTTTGAAACAAGATACTTCAAAGGATTTTTAAATATTAACTAATTTGTTTTCCTAAGATAATAGATAAGATCTGTATGAAGCTTTTTTAATATAGTAAGAAAGTCAAATATATTAGTAATAACAAGAGTTATTTTAAGATAAGTGTTTTTTTATGATAAGTTTATTAGTAAAAGAGAGAATTTTGAGATGATCGTTTAATAATAATCACAGTTCAAACCGTGCAACAGAATTATTACGAAGATATCCACCAATCGATAACTTATATCAAAAGGACTCGAACAAAGTCAAAAGAGACACATAGAAATGACAGTCAGTCATTTGATTTAACTTTTACTGTGAAATGTAGATCTAACGCTAAAACGTTTAAAAAGTGGATTACTTTGAGCAAAGATACTTAAAAGAATATTGCAATTATAACAATGACAATTAAATGAACAAAAAGGGAAAAACTTGAAATTTAATCCAAATTAAAATGGTAAAATAGGTTAATTTGTAGTGTTAAAATGTTGTAATAATAATGAAAATTTCATTTTTTGATATTTTACTAGGAAGCATATAAGTGTAACCATACTTATGCATTTGTTGATCCCACCGATTAATACAATACAGAGAACATTTCCTATGACCGATAATGTTGTATGAATTTGTAATATACGTAATAAAAATTTTTAAATAAAAAATATTCGCGATTTTAAGTATTAAACGAAGCACAAATACGAATAAGTTTTCTTTAATTTCATTGGTGTTAAAAATTTGATATGTTATTCTTATATTGAATGTGCCCGAGGATTTATTATCATTATGGACTGACTGGTTTGAATTCAACGAGAGCGAATTGTACTATGGGGTTATTAAATAAACTTGATATCCGATTCTGGACGTTTACATGAACCTATTAAATTATTTTGGCGAAAGCGATATATATATATGCAAATAAATATAAAGTTTTCCTAGAATTTTTGAATCATTTATTTCATTTAAGAATATAGCGAGAACAATAATAATGGCTCCATCTTTAAAAACGAAATGATCAATTGATTACTGATTGAATGCATGTAATAAAAACAATAAATGAACTAAAGATGCACGATCGAAAAAGTTGAATTTCTTGCTTGCTTTTTTTGTATTTATTATTTATACGATGTCGATATAGAAAATAAAGATAAAGATAATTAGTGACCTCATAATCGATTTAATTCACGATATTGTTAATAAAAAATACATATAGGAATAGTTGCATATACTGCACAGTCCTAAAAACATTCTCATAAACTATAATTGTATACGCATATTCAAACTCCGATCTCCGACCAGGGAACACAAAGATATGCTATCATAGAAAATTTAAAATTCAAAGGGCTAAGACAAATTTTTTTTTGGGTTCAAGCTGTTTTTGTCTAACAACACGATTGGCGCTGTCTTTTATGAAAGGAACGATATAAGTAAATTGTAGTTTCCTATTTTTCCTTACATTAAAATAAAGATCTTATATTGTTCTGTTCCGTCTTATTTCTATACTTTGTCATACATAGGCTACGAAAACAGATTAACAAGTTATTTCATTCAGGCGCGTTAATTTTTTCCAAAAACGCGTTTCTGATCGGGGTATTATAAGCTCTTATACCAGAATTCTTTTTTTAGAAATTCTGAAAAACATGTATTAGTAATTACGAAATAAAAGACTTGTATCAAGTATAGATATAATCGTTCTACGAAGTATCTCTTAGAATGCTTGTAATGGCAAGAAGCCATTGTCCTCTCTCGTTGTATACTTGTTTGTTTCGAATAGTAAAATTAATAATATATGTGTGAGACATAAACTTTCTATTTCATATATATATCAATTCTTTCTTTAAATTAAAAAGAAACTTTATTTACTTATACAGAAACATCTCCAAGTGCACCCCCCGGACCAGTCATAAACATGCATTTATGGATATTGCCATTATTTCATGTATTATCATCACGAAATTATTAAAATTTTATTATTACTCAAATAATCTTCTACTGTATACATGTTCATCTATCATAATTCATGTGTGAAACTACGTACGTAATACGTAAAATGGCATTGAATAATAGAATGATGTACATGTATTAAATATCACGTGTAGTACATTTATGAAGAGCATTTTAATTTAACTGGAAATTTATTGCACATGTAGAAGAGGGTGTGCATTTATGACTATAGTCCAAACTCAAGACTGGATCAAGGGATGCATTTAGGAAAAGTGTGCTCTTATAGAGGGTGCACTTAGAGATGTTTCTTTACAATCATTTTCAATTCTTAGAAAGTATATCATTTTTATGCTGTATACCGATGCAGACTACGAAACTTAATAATGTTTTCATGCATCGTTTAGCAATGAGAATTAAGGAATAACGAAGCTAAATGTTTAAGGATCTTTCCGCATGTTCAATTCTATAGATATAATAATGTGATCATAATGTATCATGTATAAAGTCAAAACGTGATTATTTGATTATTGCACATGCTAAAGCGATCTTGTACCTAAAGCACATAGAGTATGCCAACTTTTGACTGTCCTAATATTATTTCTAATATTTACTATATCCAATCATTTCCAATCAATGGGTCGAGGTCCTCATGTGGGACTCATTAGTTGGACATAATAGATTGTTATAAATCCAAGCAATATAAAATATCTAGAAACCTTAAGATGGCTACTGGTCCTAAAAGATTGCAGTATTTACATCCAGTCTTGATAAAAGATGGACCGATCTTTTTCTGTAAGACTGAAAAATCGATTTAGTATGTGCTCATCTGCAACGATTTTAACAGAGGACTGTTACGTAAAGATCGACAGTCTTTGGTCTTACACAAATTTTATACCACAGTAAATTTTATCAGGTAATTTTCATGCATTAAAAATAATCTATAGGTCCAACATCTTCCAGTGAAACAAGAAGGCCTGCATGTTCAATTCCTGTTATCACTACTTTTACCAAATCCTCAAGCATATACTCGCACAAATTGTTTTCCCACTGGTGGTATTGCTTTATTAGTGGCGAAAGCAATCAATGATGCAAAGGTTGTGTTCTCACCAATAGCAATTTTTTGCTTGTATATTTTAACTTAGATCTTATTGTCATTGACTTTACGATTATTTTCACTTGATGTCGATCCGATAAAAGCGTGACTTTTCCGTGAAGAGGGAGAAGAAGATGCACTGGCCGATGATTCTGGGGTTTGAGGTTGACGTTTATTATTATTATGGTTTTTATTAGAGTAGTTAGCTTTGAAAATAAAAACGATAATAAATATAGAAAAGGTATCTGCAAATAATTGACATATGAAACATTTAAATAACTACAGATTTAATTAGTCGAACTAATTATCTGCATTATGTAATCTTCTTTGTTTATTATATAACACCAATTGGACTGATTCTCACGTTCGTTAATATTTGCTTTCCAGAAATGAGCGAATGCTGATCATCGGTTAATCCGAAATGCTGTGAATTACCAATTCGATAAAATAAATGAGAAGTATCAACGGCATTCTGTTGAGATGACAAGTTTAGTGGTGCAATATTCGTATAGAGTTGATATAAATTCTGTAATGAATCGGCAGAGGTTAAATTTAAGAGACATGTTCCTTGTTGATTCATAATTACATATGGAATGGACGTGGTGTCGAAACAAACTATTGAAAATGTTTTTAATTGTTCTAAATTTTATTTGGTTGAAATTAGAATTAGAATTATTATATAGTTGATTTCACGGAATAAGGAAAGACAAATGGTTTTAAATATGAGATTTGGTATCGTAAATTAATATCCATGCCTACCAACATATTTAGCAGGAGTTATCGTATTAGCGGTCGCAACAGTTGTATTATATTCTATAGAGTTGATGGGCGCAAATGTAACTTTTGGTTGATGAAGATGACCATGGTGATGAATTATTGAATTTTTCTGAATTTCCTCTTCATGGTTTGTCTAATGCTTTCTTTATTATAGAACGGAAGACTTGACCCTGCTAACCAAAATCTTATGCGATATTGTAAGTTTGCATGTGTTGCAGATATTGTTCGAATGTTCCTGCTTTTATTTTTTCTTTTTGAATCAATATATTCTTGAAGTGTTTCTTGAATAATTGGAAAATGATTTCTCGATTTACCAAGATGTAAATTTTTTTTAATCACATTTATAAAATTAGTTACGCCAACACTTGACGCTCTTATATTTATGCTCGGTGAATGTCTGCCTCGTCGATTTTTATCTTTATTATTTGTATTATTATCATTGGATCAGAAGATGAACTTGACGGAATGTTCTCCGTTGCTTAGACGTTAGACAGTTGTTGTTGATGCTGGAGAATTGGTGGCATATTGAAGTTTATGTTTGTCGTAGTAAAGATAATTGTAATGATATCTAGTTATTGATTGATTTGAAAATTCAAAGGATTTTATTTGTTTATGCGATCTGTATTAGTACATATAATATGCCACGTGTATTAATATGAAGATTTAAAGTTAAAGAATGAGATTTTCATATGAATTATTGGTTTTACAATCAAGTTTATCTTTGCCCTTCTCCATGTATAAATGGGAATGATTGCAAAAGAAGGTGTAACAGGGGTCTGCAAACAATATGTAATATTTGTGCTGCAAGAAAACGAATAGTTAGCTCCCTTTGTCGCCCTTTTCGGTTGGAACAAAATACATAAATTTTATTTATGTTTATATATATATATAAATTATACGTAGTAATCAATAAAAGATTTATTCGGGGTAAGTTTATTTATTTTGTTCCCACATTCCGTCCACGATGTCTTAAAATTCTACACATATTTGTTTATTCAGAGAAACGATGTATAAAGTTTTGTAATAATATTGTACATATAAAGAGTCTAGCTTTAAACAAAGCACTTTGGCAAACTTAAATTTTTGGGGGTACCACTCTTTGAGAATGTAACATATAAAAATGTTAATTTTATAAAGACATCCGCTTTTTTACGTATAAGGAATTCCTATTTGAAATAATATAGAACAGATTTTTTAAAATTAAAGAATGTACTTTGTATCAAAGGATTTTTATTTGCTGTCTAAGGATATATAATAACGAAATAACGCCAAATTACTTTTTTAAATACTTTTTTGCATTAAGTTCACTCGAGTCACATTTGATTTTTTTCTTTTTACCTCAAGAGTAGAAACTGAAAAGAATCATGAATATTTTAAGAAATTATATAGATTAATGTTTCGTGCTTGTTGATACATACGAATAAATGCATATTTCGAATAGTCTCAGAAGGTTAAAATGAAATCGTTTGTTGTTCAGAAGAAACAGAGTCGGTCAATACGAACTGCGGGAGTTCATTCAAATGATAATAATGCGCGATATTTTCTATGAAGAAATTCTATGCTTACATATAAATATTTAGAATAACATCATAGAGCCTCTCGAAGATGTAATGGTCCGATAACATGGACAATTCTGTATTCAAATACAATAATAATCAAAAAGAATTTTCATGTGCTATGTATCACTAATAAGTAGGGGTTCTATAAACTTCCACTGAACTCGACTTTCGATTTTTAACTATACAAAAACGTCGTCAGCCAAATGGAAACATGTCCAAGGTACCCGCATACAGATGATACTGAGCACAAATGCTATAATTCATTTCGGCAAATCAGTAAAGGAGCCGCAAGCAACATCTATTTGTGGGTGATTATGACTATCACATATAAATATTTCAGGTGTGAATAAAATACAGTACATTTTCATATTTACTTTTGAAAAAGTTAAATATCCAACAGTCAGTTAGATTATCTTCAACCCTGAAAAAACCATTTTTATAATCATCGTTTTTATAAAATTTCAATAAAGTCATTTTCTTTTTTTTTTACTATCAATTTTAATTCTTTTTTATTTTATGGCTTATTGTCCAAAAAGTGATGTTTTTGTCTTTTACCGTCCTAATTTAACGAAATAAATTCTTAACAAAAGAAAGCGGCTAATTCCATCGTTTGTGCTAATTACGACTATTTACACGACAATGAACTGTTAATTTTAAGCAAATACTCTTATCAATTAACTCTTTCTATTGAAGAATTAACTAAACCAGCTGTAAAAAAACGTGGTAATTTTGATAAACAGCCACGACCACAAAACAGCTGGATAATCTTTCGAAGATATTATGAAGCACATTTACGTTTACGTAATTAATATGCCAAATAAAAAGTCAAAGAAACAGCAAAGGAATGCAGTTTAAAGTGGCGAAATCTATCAAGCGAAGTCAAGCATTTCTTCAAAATATTGGAGAAAATAGCTTCTGAAAATTATAAACGTACATATCCTAAGAATTTATTTTTCGAGAACAGAAAAAATATTCATTTATTTCGCCAGATACGTTTAGTACAATAACCTCCAATTCACCTCAAGAACCAATACAATTGACAGGTCGCCATATTTAATCTCCAATTTACCTCAAGAACCAATACAAATTGACGGGTCGTCATCTTTAACCTACGGGCCGCAATTTTTGACTTTCAATTCACCTCAAGAAACAATACAAATCAACGGGCCGCCATTTTTAACATTAACAACTTCGACAGCCCTTTATAATAATCAAGACTATATTAACAACTTTACGACAGCCAGCTATAATCATCAAGAATAAAGCAATGATTTTTACAACCATTTTAAGCAACAAGACTATACTAACAACTTTACGACAGCTATTTATAACTACACTAATGATTTAGCTCAAAATTCGATCGATCGTAACAATAACGATAATCAATTTCCTATTTTATTTGAGACAGATTTTTTCCTTGCTGACAATAACAACAATGATAATAGAAATACAGGTAATACTTCAACGCCGAACCAATTCATAACTAATACTCCAATAACACCACCACTGATAGTTTCACCTTTAACGCAATCACAATAATTTATGACAAAATATGATTTATGTCATTTTTGACAATTTATCATATGATAACATCTCCTTTAATCAATAAATAATATAGAAAATGATCATGAATAATCCCTCGTGAATAATCTTATTTTATATGCTTCTGCGGATTTTTATTAGACGATCTATTCATTCATTAGCTCGTTCGTTCGTTCGTTCGTTCTTTATTTTGTTCTTTTGTTATTTCGCAAAGTAATCGTCAGTCTTTCTCTTCTGCATCTTCATCGCCACACTCCCAATTACACCTTTATCCTCATCTTTCCGTCTTCCTTCGATGAAACATCAAAATAAACCAACAACCGCAATGAGTTTAAGTGCAATTGCAAATGGACAAAACATTAGTATACTCCTTTCACCTCCTAAATCACCTGAAACATCTCCAACTAATACTTACTTTGATCATTATGGTACACAAATTGTACGTCAGGAACAAACAACGATTATCTGCTACGCCGCCGCTACAATTCAATATTTATCCTGTTTATTAAACTATCACAACTTATGACGTCAACAAGAACTCAAGATCGTTATCATCATCAATATCAACAGCAAGCTCTTCAGCAAAGTCATTACAATCAACAACATTAGTATCGATATAAACAAATTCCTCAACTTTCCTATCAACTTCTATTTCAATCTCAACTTGCTCAATCAACAAATTCGTCGAATTCATATCAATGTATCAGCAGTAAAACGTATGGCTCTTCGCAATCGTTAATTGATGACCAATCAATGCAAATCGATATCAGTACGTATTACTCAAAACGATTTTCGCCAAGTTCGTTGCGCAATCACACATATTCACACATATTCACATACTGGTGAGAAACCATTCATGGACGTAAATTCTCAATGCAAAGTAGTAATACATGTATGAGAGTCCATCGATTGGTCGTCCAGTAAAAAAAAGTAAGATATGGCGGTGAGGTCGAAGGTGTTTATAATAAAATCAATTCAAAATAAAATTTGGCTCTTTTTTTATGGGATAAAAGTTTTAGAGAAGGGTTAAGTTAGTGCATAGAGTATAGCATTAAAATCTGTAATAAATTGACCTATTATTCTTTAAACATCCCACTCTGTTTCGTTTTAATCTGATTTCATTTTAATCCGCCACAATAATTAATAATTAATTTTGAGTTACTTTTTTAATTATCTATAATATAGTACATGTACGTAGTTGGTATAAATCTAAAATACTACATGTACAATGATAAACCTTATTACATGTATTATGCACTGATGAAAATACTGAAGTGATATCATCTACGTAATTAAATGATCATCTGATCATGTGAAACAATGCTAAGTTTAAACATTATGAACTTGTATTAAAAAATTTTTGTGAAAGTCTATTATAGATAATTTCAAATTTACAAGAGATATCATGTAAAACATAAAACGTGCATATTAAATATTTTCATATACAGTCAACATTCTCTAAATGCACACCATCGGGAGACATAAAAATCAAACCTGAAAGTGCATTTATAGAGAGTATTTTACTTAGTAATATTATTAACTTGGGACTGAATTAAGGTGTCCATTTATAGAAATGAAAACATAATGTGCATTTAGAGAGAGTACATTCAGAGAGTTGACTGTACATGTATAAATTCAAGAACGTTTCCATTTTACGCGATATCTTATGAACAACACTCAAATTTTTTTGAATTATGAGAATGATTAGAATAGAACTATGCCAATATATTTTATTAATAGTATTGTGACCAATTACTCGCTCAAAGTTTAGGAACGATCTTTAGAAGCTCATAAAATACTCATTTGCATCCAAAATAGCATAAAACATTTTTACATAATAGAATTATATATGGCGAACAAGTTTAATTATTATGTGAATAAAGATTGTATTAATAAAAAATGGACTTTTCATGTCCAACAATATATTTATTTTCGTTTTAGGTCAACCAGAACCGACCATGCGGAGTACCAATTACATGTATTACACATGATAATCCAGAACTTGCTCTTGAAGAAATTTTGCACGGAAAATTATTTCGGACATTACAGTGAAACGCAATGCTTATGGGTTGAAAGTTACGTTTCGTACTGAATTTGAATAATGACGAGAAGAAAAGGACCGTTACAGTCAACTCTGAGTAATTTTCATCCTTTAATTTATTTATATGGTATCGGATTACGAAATTAAATTCGTTCAGCTAAATCCAAGAGTTGCCTTTTCAATTGAACGTACAATATTTAGGTGTAAAGTGCTCAATTTAAGCTTTAAACATTTCCGGAAATGTTTTTTTTTTGAGGGTATATTAATAATTAAAATATAAGGATTAGTGGCAGAATATTTGCTATAAACATAATCATTCAATGAAGCAATTTAGCCGAACAAAACAAACACAAACTTCGCTTGCAAAAAAATTCTATTACATGTTATCACGCGTTTTTGTATCTCAAATGTATTTGATTATTTGGCTATAAACTTTAAAATTCATTCGAAAAGATTGTGAAATAAAATTTATTTAAATTAAAGATATTGTTTGAGTCCAATAAGCGGTTAGAACAGAATAATGATTCATGGATGTCTGTTTTCATTTTCTAGCTTTGTTTGACTATTAAAAAAGAAAAGCTCTTTCCCATAACAAATTTATTTTTGTTGTAGACAAAAAAAACTAATAAGAAACTAGAGAATAAACATAAAAGATTGAAAGAACAGAACGAAGAAACGAAGTAACAAAGTAAATGAAGTAACGAAGTAGCGAAGTAACGAAGTAGCGAAATAACGAAGTAACGAAGTAGCGAAATAACGAAGTAACGAAGTAACGGAGTAGTAAAATAACGAAGTAAATAAAGTAACGAAGGAATGAAACAACAAAAAAAAATGAACGAACGAACGAGCTAACGAATAAAAATCTGCAAAGCATACAAAATAAAATCCAGAAAGATTATTTGCGAGGGATTATTCATTATTCTTTTCTATATTATTTATTATTATCTCTATATAACACTAAAACAAAATTAAATAAAAGAGAAGTTACCATATAACAAATCGTTAAAAATGACATGAATCATATTTTGTTATAAATAGTTGTGTGAGTGATTGTGATTGTGATTGTGTCAAAGGTGAAGATATCTGTGATGTTATTAGAGTATTAGATGTGTTCGGCGCTGAAAAATATTAATCGAATCATTATCGTTATTATCATTATTAGTATCAATAATGTAACTTTCACCACTTTTAGCGAAGAAAAATTAGTCTTCAAATAAAATAGGAAGTTGATTGTCGTTATCATTTATCGTTATTGAATACGTTGTCGAGCGAATTGAGTTAAATCATTAGTATAATCTTGTTGATTATAGATGCCTGTCGTAAAGTTATTAGTATAGTCTTGATTATTATGGCTTTCGAAATTGCGAGTGTTAAAAATGGCAACCGATCAATTTGTATTGGTTCTTTAGGTGAATTGGAAGTCAAAGATGGCGAACTGTCGATTTATACTGGTTCTTGATTTTGTATTGGTTCTTGAGATGAATTGGAAGTTAAAGATGACGGCCCGTAGATTTGAATTGTTTCTTGCGGTGAATTGGAAAATAAATATGGCGGCCAGTTGATTTGTATTGGTTCTTGAGGTGGATTAGAAGTAATTGCATTAAACGTATCTGGCGAAATAGATACATATTTTTTTTGTTCTCAAAAAATAAATTCATTATGGCTTGAATTATTTGCATGTCTTGGTTTGTATTTATAATTGGGATATGTATGTTTATGATTCTCGCAAGCTATTTTCTCCAATATTTTGAAGAAATGCTTGACTTCGCTTGATAGATTTCGCCACTTTAAACTGCATTCCTTTGCCGTTTCTTTAACTTTTGAGTTGATATTTTGATTACATAAACGTAAATACGCTTCATAATCTCTTCGAAAAATTACCCAGCTATTTTGTGGCCGTGGTGGATTACGACGTTTTTTTTACTGCTGATTTAGTTAATTCGTTAAGCGAAAGAGTTAATTGGTAAGGGCATTGTTGTAAAATTTGCATTTCAACATCAGTTAAATACGCGTAATTAATGCTGGGATTAATCATTTTATTAAGTGTAAATTGAGAAAAGATTATGACAAAACTCTTGAAATCGCGTTTATTTATATAGATACATGCATGTAAAAACAAATACGACAGGCCTTCCCTCTTTAAAAGCCAAATATTACCATTACACACAATGACAATTGTGCATGTTCTCATTACCCAATACAGTTTGTCAATTTGGCATAGTGATAATAACACAGTATAAATCGATTTTATTCTTTTAGGAACTATCCTATCATCTATGCCTAAATGTAGGAACACGTAATGTTAAATTATGAATAACTATGATGTGAGAATTTTAATTACAAAAATAACGATAATGTATAATATTCCGAATTTATCCCAAAGATAAATTTGTGTAATATCATTTTTGGGTATTTTTGGGTATTGTCAAGTGCACCTTCTTGTTTAGCATGTACATGTATTTACATAATTTTTAAAGTTTTTTGATTGTCAGCATCATACCAAAGTTTGTACATAAACATGTTGATCTGCCAAGTCATTTTGACAGACAATTACGTAATTAAGCAAGAAATAGCGATATATGTAGTTCTTAATTAGGAACTAAATCCGAAATTAATACGTAACGGTTGTATGATCAATCTTGAATTACGTAAATTTTAAAACACGAATTTGTTTTGATCGTGTCACTGTTACACGTCGTTTCGAATTCGAATTCAAAATTAACGTACGTCGTTTTGGAATTCTAAAATGACGCACCAAATAGAAATTCCGAAATGATTGACGTGGACTTCGGCAAGTTAGAATATAATCATGAAAGACACCAAAATATCACGCAAAAATTTGATTTTTATTATTTTATTATCACATTTAATTTGTTACATATATATTATATGATTACCACAGTTTCTTCCTCAATGACACATGGGAGTGCATGATAGAAAGGCTGCATAACATGGACAACGATTCTAAGTCTTTCCAATTCAGATTTTGTTTATGATAATTTGCTTCTGTTCGCAAGGAAATGATTTTTGATGAAATTTGATTGAGTTCATGCATCTAATGGTTCGACTTCATTAGAATTATAGGATATTTCCAATGTTCCAGCTGCACATCCCAAGATCAAAATTTCATCTTTGTCAACATCTAAAACAACACATGGAAGAAATTTTTGACCTCTTTTTTGATCAATCTTTGGTATCGGAATCTTGACTTTTTCTCCAATATCATAAGAAAGTCACTTACATTTCTTCTTTTTTTGTTCAATTTTTTTAGTATTTTCTTGATGTTTAATTCTTGCTTGTGCATAAAATTTTTTATGCTTGTATTGATTTTGATTAAAATCATCTATAGTAGCATTATCTTGTACTAACTTTTTAATTTATTAATAAATATTAAATAATAAATATTAACTTATAAAATTTAAATATAATATAATATTTAAATAAAAATTTACCATTGAATTTTGAATATTAGTATTCAGCTTTGAAATATTTTTAATAATTTTTCTTGTTTGCAAATTATGTGATGAAGAACTTGATATTTTTTTGTTGTAATGCATTATTTTTTGAAGTTGAATTCTTTATTGGATTGTACTAAATATATTAATAGTAATTAATTAATTAAATAAATTTTGTAAAAATAATTAATACTAATCTGTATATTATTTTTATTACAGTTTTGATTTGATTCTTAATATTCAAAAAGTAAATTAATTACAAGTTTAATATCTTCTTGAGAAATATTATTTTCATTATCAATTTTTGCTTTATAAATTAGATCAATTAATTGACAATTACCTACAGGATTTGATCAAACAAGATAAAAAGATGTATTTTTTGTAGATAAATATTCATTGTATTTATATTAATAATAAATTATAAATAATAATAATTAAATATTAATATTTTAGTAATTATAATAAACTTCAACAATAATTAATTTTAAATACATTAGGAATTCGAAATAATAGCAGAATTGTAATAAACTTTGAACCTGGTAATAAAAGGTGAAGAAAAATAATTCAGTTTAAAGAAATATAAATATTTTCGCATCCAATAAACCAAATTAAATAATTTTGATAGTATTAGAAAGATTTAGCTAAGCACATTTAATAATATTAAAATCATTGAATTTGGTTTATTAAATATAGATATTGTATATTAAAAACAATTATATAAAATTTTTCATAATTTTATACATTGTTTTAAAACACAATATCTCCAAATTTGATAAATCAAATTCAATAATTTTGATATTGTTATTATTTTAGTGGACTTTTATTAGCTTTTAAATATAAATTACATGTTTTTCACAAATTTTTATCAAGAATTTTTATATTTTAACTAGAGATTTACATGTTTTTAATATTTTTAAAGATGAAAAAGACTAATTTACTAAAGATTTTATAGCTAATTATCTAAAAATAAGTAATAAAGTATTCATATTATTGAGTAGTTTGAATAAGTCTAGAAATCTTTTTTTTTAATTCAAATAATTTATTATTAAATAATCTTCTTTTATCAATCATTTTAAAAAATAATTATTTTTTCTTTTTAAATAATAATAACTAACTTTATAAAGTAATGATGAGAAATTAATTTATTAAATAAAAAATATCACTTATTATAGATAGAGATCTTTTCATAAAAAAATATAAATAAGAAAGTAAAAAAATAATTAAATTATTAAATAATTAATTAACTAACTCATTAACTTCTTTTCTAAGCTAAAATACATATTATATTTATATAAGTTATTTATTATTTAATTATTAAATTTAATTAATATTATTATTATATAAAAAGTACTTGCATATTTAATTATTATATATCATTTACTTTAATATTATATAAAATTTATAATTAATATTAATCAAATTAAATAATATTGATTAATTAATATATATTTTCTATATTAAGATTATATAATATAAAAATATCTTTTAAACTGTCTAGCAAATTAATTTGTCTATTAAAATTGTTTTTGGTCTATTTTTATATATTTATTTCTAATTTTTCTAAGCTTAATTCCATATTTTTCTAAGATAAAATAAAAATATAACATATTTTAAATTAATATAATCTAAATTTATAATTTTTATTTATTAATTACTCAAAATATTTGATTTATTTTGTAATTAATTCTATAATTTTATTATTAAAATTTCTTAAATTTTTATATATTTCTAGGAAGAAAAAAATTTTTTGTTAATAATTAAAGTTAAAATTTTATTAATAAAATTATAAAAATTATAATAATAAATATTATTCTATATAATAAATTCTATAATTTGTATTATAATTTATAGAAAAATATATTTAAGATATTAATAAGTTTATTAAAGACTAATAATAAAAATTTTTTAAAACTGCTTTTTAGCTTATAGATAACTTTATTTTTTTATAATTATTAAAAAAATAAAAATAATTATAATATAATATATAATATATAATATATAATATATAATATATAATATATAATTAAAATTAATATTAAATAACTTTTTAAAAATATTTTAATTTTTGATAAATATATATTAGATATAAATTTATAAAATTTTAACAAGCAAATTTGCTTATTAAATTTAATAATTTAAGAAATAATTAATAATATAAAATAAATAAAATATTATAAATAAAATATGAATAGTATAAAATAAAAAAAATAATATAAATAAAATATAAATAGTATGAAATAAAATGAATAATATGAATAAAATATGAATAATATTGTTATATTTATTTTCAAAAATTTCTTAATTAATAAATCTTCAAAAATAGTAAAAAATATAAAAATTCCTAAAAATAATAATAAAATAACAAATTTAATAAAAATAATTTATATATATTAGTTATTTAGTAATTATATATTTATTATTATTTATTATTTAAAATTTAGTAATTTTATCTTTTCTATCTTTTCTACTTTTTCTATTTATTCTACTTTTTTTTACTTTTTCTACTTTTTTTATCTTTTTCTACCTTTTTACCTTTCTACCTTTTCTATCTTTTATATATTTCTTTTTCAATAATTTTATAACATAAATAATATTAAAATATATTGAGAAATATTGTATAAATAAAAGTGATATCTTAACATATTCTCTCTTATACTTCAAACAAATTAATAAATTTTAATTTTAATATAATAAGTTAATAACTATCTTATTGTTATAAAATTAATATTTATTTTTGTATCTTTTTTTATTGAATCAAATTGTCTGGCAAAAATAGTTTGTTAATTTAATTTCAAATCTTGTAATTCTAATTATTTTTCATAAATTTTAAATGAGATCAGGAAACTGAATATTAATTTGTATAGAATTGAATTTTTAATTATTATATTTTTGTTTTTAAATTTGAAAAAAATAATTAAAGTATTTTTTTAACTAAGAATATTGATTTATTATACATGTACATGTCTGAATGTATGACAGGTACCCAACGCTAACATGGCGTTCACCAGATTTTCCATAAATGCTTATACGTACGTAAATCAACTACATGTATATAGAAAATAGAAACTTATCGTTATACATTTATGTACACCCAATCCGTTTTGGATAGGCGTATTTTTATGATCTGCAGCCAATGAGAATGAACAATACTTCGGCAAGCAATTTTTCATAAAACACTATGCCCTAATCCAAACGATAAAATCAACCTTTAATAGTTGCCGGCACACATGATTTGCGCATTCTTATTGGTTTTTTATCATTTGATCAGGTCAGGAACCGAGCACAGATTATGCAAAATTTTTATGGCAAACTCATGTTATCTAGTAACTATCAGAATGGTATAAAGGGCTTATGTTAGAAGCCAAAAAACGAACTTGTTGCGTTTTTACATTCTTCTTTCATAATACTTCCTTTTTACTGTTGGCATAATATATGTATAATTACTAAAAACGGGATCCGTTAAAGCCTGAATCTGATTACAAATAACTTGAAATTTACTACTACTACTACTACTAGCTTTTAACCTCTAAATAAAATGCTCAGCGCGAAATTTCATATATAACTATATTCTTGTCAGACACTTTAACTTTAACTATATCTAACGAAATTAGAAACCAATATTGGTTATTTTTTATTTTAATACGTAATTTGCGTGTATTTTTCCACAGTATATCATCCACCACCATAATTCTACAACATCAAACACTCTTTCCTTCAAAAAAAAGAAAAATAATAACATGAATAATAACGAATATTTAACAGAAACTGAACGTCAACTTTTAAATGAACCGCCTTATGATCTAACTCTCGAAATTGAAGAGCTAACAAAGCCTTCCAAGAAAAACCGAAATAATTCTGATAAACTACCACGGCCCCAAAACAGTTGGATCATTTTTCGGAGAGATTATCAAGCAAGTTTACGTTGTCGTAGTCCTAACGTCAGACAAGAAGTCAAACGTACGGCCAAGAGTGTAGCCTGATGTGGCAACAACTGTCAAGTGAGGTCAAGCAATTCTTCAAAATATTGGAGAAAATAGCTTGTGAGAATCATAAGCGTATATATCCTAATTATAAGTATAAACCAAGAAACGCGAAAGATTCCAACATTAAGGAATGGGTTTTTCGCGAACAAAAGAAATACACGTTACCCATGTCCAGCTCAATGAGTGACAATTTATCTCAAAAAATAGTTAAGTCTCCCTCTTGAATGATACATTATCAACCATCGAATATAATCATACTATTATCACCGCTTCAACAATCATTGATGATATTCATCCTTCCACAATTAATACTAATAATGATGCCGGAAATTCGGCCAACAACGCGTATAATGAAATAACTTCATTGGATCAATTTCTTTTATCCGGAAATATTGATATTAACGTTAATAATGCGGATTCAGCAGCCATTGGTCATAAACATCTTTCCACGATCAATGCTAGTAATGATATCGGAAATTCGTTTAACAACGCGTTTAATGAAATAATTCCATTAGAACTATTTCCATTTTTATCCGGAAGTTTTGATATTAACGTTAATAATCATGAGGATTCAACAGCCTTTGATTATATTCATCCTTCCATCAATAACGATACTAATAACGATGTCAGAAATTCAATTAACGACATGTTTAATGAAATAACGATAATTTCATTAGAACAATTTCCTTTTTTATCTGGTAATGTTGATATTTAACGGCGAATTTTCTATTAATGCTTCGATCGATAAATCTTTACAACCAAACAAATTCGGCACCCACCACGGATATTGATATTATTAACCTCGTTAGAATCACAATCACACTCATCCCAAAATATGATTCGAAGAATCATTCTATGTTAGAATTTTTTATAATATATAACTAAGAAATTCAAAATCTCACTATATATAATACTAAGGGCCATGACATATATTACATAATATAGATTTACTATAGAGCCCACACCCCTCCCCCCGGTAAAATATTTGGAACATGTGACTTTATATAACATAAGACATAAGATACTGTCAGTACCCTCCCCCTAAGGATTTTACATAATATCTGTCACAGCCCTAAACATAATAATTCAATATAGATTCCTCTTGTTCCTCGCAAATAAGATATGATTAATTTATTCATTAATTATTGTTTTGTCCGTTCTTTCGATTAGTTTATTAATTCGTTGTGTATGCTCTGTCGTCAGTTTATTAATTCATTGTTTCTGTCTGTCTATTCTTTTGTTTACTTTATTAGTTCGCTGTGTCATTTTTCATTTAGTTTTTTCTTTAGTACTGCATACCGTCTTTTAGTTCCTTAGCTGCATATATTATTTATTAAATTTTCTTCCTTTTCAGTTCAAGGAAATGTGGTCGATTTCTTAATCTTATTTGTAATTTAGAATCTATCTATTGTAAAAGTTAAAATCATTTCAATTCGAAAATTAACATATTCGCAATTCTATCCCAATTTCTGGTCACGTGATACTTTGTTGATGACATGTAGACAAATTTTTTGATTACCTAGGAACTGTATTTTGATAAAAACGCAATGAACAATTTTCAACTATGTATATAGTATTAAATTAGTAATTGTTTATCGTTATATCTGCTCTAAATGCATCTCTTGATACAGTCCCAAGCTTGGACCATAGCCATAAATGCACATCCTCTATATTCTACATGTGCAATAAATTTCCAGTTCTGTTATATTAAAATGCTCTTCACAATTGCACTCCACGTGATATTTAATCACATGTTATCGTGCTCAATAAATATTCTATTTACATCATTAGTTTCACACAATTTTATCAGTCTCATGCTATGAAATATGATGACTGTTAATAAAATTTTAATGATTTCATGATGATGATACATTTAATAATGGTAATACTGTTTATATGAAATCCTTTTTTCTTTAAATGCACATCATCCATACATGCATGTTTATGACTGGTCTCGGGGGAGGTGTATTTAGAGAGATTTCTCTTTAGTATATTCTAAACGAATATTTTGAAAATAAATATTACTTTAATCAGATTTCGAAAATACACGGTTCAATATTGTTCTTTTAAAGACGATTAGTTAAGTTTCCGTTTTACTCACGTATCGCAAATATTCTGATGCACCACTAGTATTGAGTTTTACAATAAATTGTTGACATTGTCGATCTTTATTTTTAGCTTGTGGAGCATAGAAACTCGATATAGCGGAGATTCGATATATAACAGAGACTAATAAAAATTCGACATAGCGAATTGAAACCTTTCTCGACATAACGTCCACTGTGTATTAACTCTACAACACGATTTTCTAATATTTTTATTTTTTATTTTTTCTTTACAGCATTTACTGTAGTATCGATGGTTGTTGAAACGATGTCAATACAAATTGCAAATACTGCATCATCATAACTTTTATTTGAGCTAGTTTAGTGACGAAGCAAATGAGTATTTATTTGTTCCCAAAATAAATTTTTTACATTTAAATTTTTCGCATTTTCGGCTTATACTTATATACGCTTTTATGAGTTTCACAAGCTATTTTCTCCAATATTCTGAAGAAATTCTTGATTTCTTTTGATATTTTTCACCACTTAAATTGCATTTCTTTAGTTCAATGATTGAATCACAATTTTAGTTTTTGGGAATTTCTCAAAATTTATTGCTAATTGCGATGCTGATTTAATTATTCCTCGATACTGTGAAAATATTGGCTAAATAATATAAAAGAATATGTGCTATAAATATAATCTTTTCAACACAAGCTCTGCTTGCAAAAAATCTATTATCTGTTATAGCACGTGTGTTTGTATCTCGAATTATATAATTATTTTGGCTATGAAATTCAAAAATTCATTTGCAAAGATTATGAAATAAAAGTTATTTAAATTAAAGATATCGTTTGAGTCCAATAAGTGGATAGAACGTATTAATAATTAATGGATGTCTGCTTTAATTCTCTAGCTTTGTTTGACTACAGTGCGGGTCACTGAGTCACCACACAAAAAAATTTAATTCAAATCATATCATATCTGAGCCTCAAAATAATTCAGAAAAATTAGAAAATACGTAAATTACTAGTTTATTGACTGCTCTATAACATTGATTATTTTTGTGACGGAAAAGCTCAAGTTGTTGAATTAATAGGTCTTAAAGATTTGGCCAATTGTGTAATTAAGTGACCTGCACTGTATTAAAAAAAGAAAAATCTCTTTCCATAACAAATAAAAATACAAAAACTCGATGTAAAAAGTTCACGGATGCTATTAGTACAGATGCACCTGAACTTGCTTTTGTAGATTATCAAAAATAATAAGAAACTAGAGAACAAAGTAAAAGATCGAAAGAACAGAACGAAGGAATGAAGTAAATAAAGTAACAAAGTAAATGAAGTAAAGAAGTAACGAAGTAACGTAGTAATAAAATAATGAAGTAAATAAAGTAACGAAGCAACGAAGTAACGAATTAACGAAGAACAAAAGAACGAACGAGCTAATCCGTAAAATCATACAATAAAATCTAGAAAGATTATTGCGAGGGAATATTCATAATTCTTTTCTATATTCTTTATTAATTATAACACTAAAACAAAACTAAATAAAGGAGAAGTTACAAATTGTTAAAATAACATAAATTATATTTTGTCATAAATAATTGTGAGTGATTGTGATTGTGTTAAAGGTGAAGATATCTGTGATGTTATTGGAGTATTAGATGTGCTCGGCGCTGAAAGTATTAATCGAATCATTTTTGGTATCAATCATGTAATTTTCACCACTTTCAGCGAATAAAAATTCTGTTTCAAATAAAATGGGAAGTTGATTATCGTTATTGAACACATTGTCGAGCGAATTTTGAGCTAAATCATTAGTATGGTCTTGTTGACTATAGATTGCTGTCGCAAAGTCTTCTTGATTATAAATGGCTGTCATAAACATATTAGTATATTCTTGATTATTATAAATGGCTGTCGAAATTGCTAGTGTTAAAGATGGCAGCCCGTCGTTTTCTATTGGTTCTTGAGGTAAAGTGGAAGTCAAAATGGTGGCCCATCGATTTGTATTGGTTCTTGAGGTGAATTAGAAGTTATTGCACTAAACGTATTTAGCGAAATAGATACCTATTTTTCTTTTCTCGAAAAATAAATTATTTATGGCTTAGATTTTTGGCTTGTATTGATAATTAGGATATGCACTTTTATGATTCTCACAAGCTATTTTCTCCAATATTTTGAAGAAATGCTTGATAACTTTCGCCAATTTAAATTGCATTCCTTTGCCGTTTCTTTAACTTTCGATTTGACATTTTAATTACCTAACGTAAATGCGCTTCATAATCTCTTCAGAAATTACCCAGCTATTTTGTGGCGGTGAATTATGTCGTTTTTTTACTGCTGATTTGGTTAATTCGTTAATCGAAAGAGTTAATTTGTAAGGGCATTGTTTGTAAAATCTGTCTTTCATTATCAGTTAGATATTTTTATTAGTGTTGTGTTTGGTCATTTTAGATGATTAATTTGTTATAAAAGATAAAAATTCTTTGAAAAAACCATTTTATTTATACTCAGTCGCACTCCTCTGAAGTCATATTCTTTTTAAAATACCAGTTCAATTAAAGAGTGTGTTGTTGCGTTCCCTTCGATATTTAGTTAAAAAGTTTATTTCGTGATGAATGGGGTGGGGGCACCAGATTATTATGTTTTCTATAACAATCGATTGGTCAAGGGACTTTCTGCAACGAAAATTGAGTGCTAGATCGAATTATTTATGGTTAAAGGATCTCTAAAAGTTTCCTGTGGCGACTTGTACACAAATCGACCTTTTCAAAATAATAAGGGGTGTTTGAAAGAGGAAATAAGATAGAATTGCTTTTGTAATAATAATCAAATCACTTCAATAAAATCGTGTTTATTCAATAATCGAAAACGTTTACTAACATGACTGATCTTATTGATACGGCCTATCTAAACAAAAATAATTTAACAGGACTTATTGTTACGGCCTGCACAAATAACACAAAATCAATTTGACAAGACTTATTTATACGGCCTGTCCAAACTAATAATTCAAAAGAAATCGAGGAGAATCCACTACTTGTAATTACTCAGAAGGTTTGAAGTTTGACCAAAGAAAATAAAATAATAGTGTATTCACAAGTAGTAATATTATTACGAGTAAGAACTTTGTTATTTATTAGATTAAAGCATGATCAAAGCATGTCTTCTCAGACTAAAAAGGTGCTTCTATATACAAGCAATAATTGTTCAACGTCTTTTAATTTTCCAGACAATTGTCGAGATAATTATCTTCCTTTGATAATCGCTATCTATTGTTATGTGTGTTAATAATCGTTCGATGTTTCTCGATTGTCTAGGATTCGCGATAATTGTCATCCTTTCGGTAATCACTATCGTTACGTGCGTTAATCTTGAAGAATGACGGGATATTCATAATATAGGAAAAAAAAGGTAACGTTCATTCATAATGGCTTTCAATGTAAATCTCACAGGAAACTAACGTTAAGTTATTGTGGAAAGATATTCATGTGGAAATTAAGGGTCAAAATTATGGAATTAAAGGATTTAACGTTACTTCGGGAACAGTGTACATCTGGACATTCTTGGGTGTGTTACCAATTGAAGTTTATTCATGTGTATTTTCAGTCACTACACTACGTATTAAATTTGTTACAATGATAGTATATACATACGTAAAATTTTCTGCCTGTATTACGCGCGTAAAGATATAGATATACATGTATTAGGAAAATCAATTACTGTATTTGGAAGTTGATCATCAATTTTTTAGCCAAGATGGGTTTATGTCTATGCTGCAATTACAATTTTTGTTAATGGAAGAGAAGAAGAAAAGAGAAAAAAGGAAATATTTATGCTCCTTACAAATTGAACGTGAATAGAAGTTGGTTTAAATACAAAAATGTCATGTATATGTATTCAAATAGCTTCTCACACCAATAGGAGCGCTATCATTAATTCTTTCCTTGTCCATAAATGAATAATCTGTAATTGATCGTATTAGTAATTGATTAGTAATTGATTATTAATTCATTTATGCATAATCTTTTAATATCTGTTATTTGTGATAGATCAGTTTCGTCAAATTGGTCATTTTTTTACCCCCGAAAAATTCATTTCTAAATAGAAATTACCAGATTTAAATTACAGTCAGGGCGAGATTTACTGGTGAATCGGTAATCAAATTCCAAGGTATCGTTAAAATGGAGAGAATACACATACTAATAGATATCTTACAGTGATCCATGATAGATTATTATTTTTTGGTAAAAGCTCTATGATTATGATTGCATAAACAATCATCGATTTACTATACATAGTCAAACCGAAGTGATTGTGACTATTAGTAAACAAAATTCAGTTGATTACTATAACTGTTTCTGGAACCAATTTTAGGTTATCGAGATAGTTAGTGTTTCAGTAAACAGGGCAAGTTTGGTTTAACAAGGGTTGACTGATAGCTAATATGCGAATGAATTAATGCATGTGCTTAATACTATGCAATTAAAGCATCAATAAAGTTTTCGCATTTTATTCATGCGTATTTTTTAGAGATTGTACCCGGGTCGGATATAACCAGACCAACTCGGGTGAGTCAGATATCCGGGTTGTGCTTACGACCATCCGGGAGAATGTGGGTGGATCAACCCACGGGTTAATCCGCAGGTCAATCCACGGGTCAACCCGTTGGTTAACCCGTTTATTCGTGTAATGCTACAGATTTTCATTATCTGTATTCTTTATTTTATACGTGTTATTTAGTAAATTTGTGGGTTATTAATGATAAATTGTGGTTATGGCTCGCATACGTTATAAAATGCTTATATTCAACATATTGATCGTCGCAAACACTTCATTAATTACAGTCACGATTCGTGCCTCTAAACCAGAGTTAATTAGATCCAACATCATCTTTGCACTATATAAAGGTCGCCGAAAATTCAATTTTTTAATTTTATCTAATATATAAAAAGGAATATATTCAGCCATTGCCACCAATTCACATATCCATCTACATAGGGATAGGAATCGATTCTCTAGAATCGATTAATTTAGAATCGATTCTGAGAATCGATCAATTTTATAGAATCGATTAAAATTTGAGAATCGATTTATTATGCATAAATGGTGTAACAAAATTATTAAAAAGAATAAACTAATGAGAAAATCTTCTTGTAAAAAAATGGCAAATGTTACAACTCGCTCTCGCGCACGACAACCTACTTTGTCATTTAGCAACAATATTACAATATTAATAATACTCTGATCTTTGGTGATAACCAAAAAGCTATTTCCAATACAGAGTTTAATTAATAATGTCAATATTGATCCAAACTTGAATGATATTTACGAAATAACAGAAAATAATGAAACAGATGACAATATTTCGATCATTTCTTTGCCACCTAGTATCTCTACAAATTCAACAAATCAAAGTATACCAACAAAAATGAAACATAAACTGTAAACTAAACCAAAAATCAGTTATATATGGAATTACTTTAAATAAACAGCCCCTAATACTACTATTTGTCAAGTACCAGGATGTGAAAGAACATTCACTTATCACAAAACAACTTCTACTATGAAATCACATCTCTCAAGTGTTCATTATATTACAAAAACTGTTGTTAAACAAATAACAAAGCTTTATATTATCCATAACTCAGATATTGTTATTAAAAATTATAAATAATACAATAAAAGTACCCTATAGTACCAAATAACAAAAGGAACTCAATTAGTAAAATTTATTGTGAAAACTGTTCAATCTCTCCAGTTGGTCGAAGCTCCTAATTTTCTTAACTTTTGTAAAAAATTAGATCTCAAATATAAAGTTTCAATTACAAAAATATTAAAAGATAAAATTAATTTCACATATTACTATACTTATCAAGTAAAAAAAGAAATTAATAATAGTACTAAATATATTGTACTTACTTTAGATTTTTGAAGTTCTAAAGTACATCTATCTTATTTAAAAGTTACTTGTCATTAATTATTATTTAATTTCAAATACAAAGAAATCCTTTTAACTATTGAAAAGTTATTATATCCACATAAAGCTTCTCAAATAATAGAATATATAAAAAATTTGCTTAATATATGGAATTTAGAGTTTAAAGCCTTATTTATTACAACTAATAATGCTGCTAATGTGAAAAAGCAATTAGAAATCTCAGAGTTAAACTCATATTTCTTATATAATTCATATATTACAACTCAATATTATTAAAGAATTAGGTAAAATAAAAGATATTATAAAAAATATAAAAATCTTATTAGATTTTGACAAAAGACAACAACTTAAAGAAACATAATTATATTTTCAACAACAATATTCTCAATCATTATCTTATATTAGTAATAACATATTTCAACAAAATATTTTAGAAGATACCAATATTCAACAAGATAAAATACCAATCTTAGATATTATTAAGGCAAACAACACATGATGAAATTTAACATTTTATGTTTTTAAAAGACTACTAGTTTAAAATAATTATTATATTAAAAAATACTTTATTTGAAGATAACAAAATTAATATTTGAAAAAAAGATACTATATTACAAGTATTAATTCAAACCAGTTCAGTCTTGAATAACATATAATTAAAAAACTTATATTACTTCTTGAATCTTTTGAACAAGTAACTTGTTTGATAAGTGGTTTCAAGTTTGTTACTCTTGGAATAATGTATCCAATTATAATTGAATTGCTGGACAGATTAACAAATGACTTTTTTAATGATCGAATGGCCAATAATATTAAAGATATTATCCAAAATAATATAAATTCTAAATGGAAATTATCTCATGAGCTGGAAATATATGATTCATTCTTTGATTTATGATTTAAAACTTTAAGTTTTATTTTAGAGATAATTATTTTTCATAATATATTCTCTTTGAAATATAATATCTTGTAATACTATTATTTGATTTGTCTCAAAACTATTTGCTAAATCACGAAATATTACGTCTAAACAATTTTATCATTTAAATGTGATATCTTATAACTCAGTAACTGAATTCAAGTGAAATTATAATCATTCAATTTATCTTAATTAGTGAATAAAATGATGATATTTTACTTGAATTTGGTTACTGAATCAAAAGATATCACGTTAAAACTATAAAATTATTTAGATGTGATATCTCATGATTCAGTGATGGTATTTGAGTAAAATGCTATCATTTTATTCATCTAATCAAAACGAATTGAGTAATAGTATTTTTACTTGAATCTGGTCACTGAATCACAAGATATCATGTTTATATAATAAAATAAAAATTAATTATCATTTATTTTTGGAGTATATATATTAATTATTCATAATTTTTTTATATTTTGCATTTATAGAATGAGCATGCAGTATAATTCAACAAATTTGAATTGAATATGAAGATTTGCACTCAGTTTCAGATACCAATTCAACTATATTGCAAATTACCAGTCAAGAAGAATTATCAGCAATGGGAGTATTATTTGCTAAAAAGAATGCTATTATTCATTCATCAGTAAAAGGAGAATTTGAAAAATATCTGGAAATCCCAGAGCTTCCAGCTTTGGAGAAAAATGATCCAATAATTTGGTAGAGAGCAAATAAATTTTATAGAATCGATTAAAATTTGAGAATCGATTAAAATTTGAGAATCGATTCTCAAATTGAAAATCGATTAATCGAATTTATTAATCGATTAATCGAAATTATTAATCGAGTTTAGAATCAATTCTGGGTTGAGAATCGATTCCTATCCTTACATATACACCCCGACATTCTATTAGACAATATGAAATAGCATGACAAAAAAATAATGCAAAGTAAAAAAAAACTATTTTTTGTTTTTTCTTCGCATAACCGAACATGTACGTACTGATACTAGTTACCTAACCAGTTATTGACTGGTTAACCAACTGTTTACTTACTGTGGTCTATCGGTCATGAACCAATGGTCGACACTATATATGGCCAATAAACGAGTGACCCGAAATTCAAAATAGAAATTAAAAAAAATAATTGATAATCAAGTGCTATTATTAAAATTTTCTTTTTTTGAATTTTGGCACCATCCATAGTAATGGCGACTGGATTGAAAATGAACTGACAGAAAAATTATATGATGAGCTTGGATTAATAAGGAAAGGGGAAAATGATAGCAACATATAGAACAACTATTTGGGATTGAAGAGAAGGGAATGGCGTGGTTTAGACAATGTACAAATTAGTATCAGTGCGTCTAGAACCTCAGAATCGAAAGATGAACTGATGAAAAAATCGTATGATGAACTCAGATTATAAGGGGAAGGGAGAAAAACATTGTGATTAGTAATTTTCCTAGGCAAAGAAGGAAAATGATTGCAAAAAACTCTCCAAAGTAATATCAAAGCCTATCTGAAAGGAGAATGATCGTAAAGCATATCGTATGATTCATTTTGGATTGAAGAGGATGGTACAGTTTTAGGTGGTGTACAAATTAGGAAATAGAGAATGAGAAACTTATTATTGTAATCATTCGAAGCATTGTGTGTCATGCAGGAAATGTTTGGGACTTTAGATTAGAGATTGAATGTTCATATTTTCATGTAACAAACTCACGTATATAAAAAATATATTCTTGCCTTAATAAAATTAACTCCTGTGTTGATGTTTGAGTTGAGTGATTTCTCGATACTTTTTCAAGACCAAAATCAAATTATATAGGGGGGTCGTATAATTTTGGCCACGACTGTAAATAGAATACACGCGGTATAAAAGAAGAAGATCCTTTTATCCAATTTCCAAAGGGCCTTAGCAAAATGGAAAGCGAAGAATCTATTAAGCATGTTCTCATGTAAGAAAATATGCGATGTGGAAATTCACTATTCTACGGGGATCAATCATAATGATACACATGTATTGGGATAACTCTATATCGATATTGAATTTATAATAACGCTTCATATCGATATTGAAAATTGCAGTATTTGTATTACTCTACATGTGGTAAAAGTTTTACATTTATTTAATTTTTTTATTTTTGCATGATTTAAAGGAGGTCAAATGACTAAAATTAAGATACACGATCAATATATAAGATAACGATAATAATTTAAAAAATTGATAACGTTAATACATTCAATTACAGTCCACACCGAAAATAATGGCAGAAAATTTCTGCCATATTGGTCTTCTATAAAAAGTTTGGTGTGAATGAAAACATGCACACACCCCTACAATAAATTCAAAAATGAATGTCTCTTTGGAACCTGATATCTCGACATCCGGTGATCCCATTCGAACAAAAATATCACCTTAGATTTGTCTCGACTATACAAATCTAACGGTGATATCTTTATTCGAATAGGATCACCGGATGTACATGGCATTTCTATGAATTTCTACCCCGAAATGTATCTCCATCCGTAATACATACATATGCACATTAAAAAGTACATGTACTGTTGCGTGCTACTGTTTTAATCGGTCAAAGAGGGGTTTTTACGCAACTGGGATGAGAGCTAGACTGAATTATTTACAAGTAAAGGGTTTCTTTGGGTGTTCTAAAGGCTTCCCGTGGCGACTTGTACGCAAGTCGACGTTAAAAAAAGTAAGTGGGCGAAAACTATAGTATAATAAAAAAGGGAATAATCCAAAAATCAATTTAATTAATATAACACAATGACTTATTGGTACGGCCTATTTAACAAAACAATTCAACAGGACTTATTGATACGGCCTGGACAAAGAAAAATCAAAATAACAATAATATCAAGAATACAATCGACGGCTTATTTAGAGTGGAGGAGCATCCACTACTTGTAACT